TACTATTTGTGGAATAACTTTAGGATATTTATGATAAGAATTAAATAAACTTACCTTAAATTAGAGTGTAGAATATTGAACCAATGAAACTCCATAAAGTAATAGGAAATCCCATTTCCCATTATTCTAATTTCTTTACTTTGTATTTACTTTATAATGTTGCAAGACAACCATCTGAAAATAATGATGTAATCAATAAAACAATTCCAAATATTGAAGAAGTATTCTTTGTTGTATTACTATCACTCATATTAAAGGCATAGATTCCTACTGAAATTATTAAACCACATAGTGTTTGTTATTTTGTAAGTGTTTGATTTCCAAATAATAATCCAACTACTAACACAGAGAGGATTCAATAAATTTTTCATAAATACTTACGTGCAACTTTTCACCAAAGCTTAAAATGGAAAACTCACATATTATAAGGCTGTTAATGTTCCTATCATTGATGTAAAATTTATCAATCCTAAATATGCTCCTTCTTTTATTGTACATACAAACTTTATTTTATTTCTAAAAATCATTGCCATACATAATAAATTTTATAATAGCATTTATAGAAATATTAAAATTGATGAAAACTCAAATTTAGGAGATGGATTACTATCTAATGAACCAAAATTACTCTTAAATCTTGATAATTAAATTATAAATTACAAGTGTTCTTCAATAAGTCCTACGTTAAAATAGCAGAAATATATTCCACCTACAGATATAAATAATTATAATTCTTTCCTGAGCATATTAATATATTTATTTTAATTATAAAACTTATAAGAATAAATATATATATATTTATGTCTCATATATATATTAAGAATGATAAATTATAATCATCTTGTAATTTCATATTGATAAATTTATTTTACTTTATTAAATATTATAATAAATCTTTTTGACTTCATAAGATTTCATTCATTATTTATGAACACTGATATTTTTAAAAAATGTAATCACTGGTGGAAATAGAGGTTTAGGATTCAAATTAGCAGGAGTATTGTCTGCAAATCATCATATACTCTTAACAGCTAGAAATTTAGATAGTGTTAATCAAGCAAAGTGTAAAATTAAAACAATTGTACCAAATGCAAGCATTACCACACAATAATTAGATGTGTCAAGATTTGATAGTATTAAAGTATTTCATAAATGGATGATCTCAACTAATACTACTGTAGATATAATTGTTAATAATGTTGGTGTGAATGATGAAAATCAATTAGAAAATAAGGCATTTGATATTATGAATACTAATTTGTTTGGAATCATTAATCTAACAGAAACTATAACTCACTTAAGATGGAAAAGTAATTTATTCATATATTTATATTTTTAGATTATTTTAATATCTTCTATGCTTGGTAAATTAAAATTATAACCACCATCTACCTAAAAATTATTATAAGAGAAAATGACAAAATAATAAATATTACAAATGGCTAGAGATCTCATACATAATTAAAAAGAAGGTAATTATAGAATATGGTCTTCGCATATTCAACCACTCTATAAAGTATCTAAAGTATTAACTAATGCTTATGCCAGATATGTCTTAACAGATTTAGTATAACCAAATCAATCTATATTCTGTGTTCATCTTGGATGGTATTCATATTCTAATTAAATATTAGAGGGTTAAAACTGATATGGGAGGACCAAAAGCTCCAAGTGAAATTAAAGATGGAATCTTTACCAGTAAATTTCTGATTCAAGAATTACCATATGGTAGAAAATCCACAATATCATGCTAAGTATTTTAATGACAAAGCATAAGTTGAAGAATATTGAGATTTATATATATATATTAATAATTTATTATTTAAACTTATACTTATCTATCATATATTATAAGTTATTGAATAAGCAATCAATGGCACTTTGTATTCAGGTTTCTTCATTAAAATAGCAAATTTATCATTCTCTTCTAATTTTATTGTTGTATATATATATTTAATTATATTAATTAAATCTTATTTGCCCAAGTATCAGGTTAAATCACTTTACTAAAATCTGTAATGTTTTCTTTCTATCTATGTAAGAAAACACCTAATCGACCTGTAATTTTTAAATAGAATTCATATTATACTTCATCTATTATTTTTTTAGAGACTTCTTTTACATTATCATCCAAAGAATAAAATACACTAAAATAATTATACAAATACTTTACTCCTATTAATCATTATTATCATCTACTTTAGTTATTTCTGGATATTTACATTTTTTATCAATCTTTCTACATAAAATTTATGCATGATCTTATGAAATTGTATTAATTTATTAAATATCATCTTTTAATAAAGAATAATCTTATCTTGATATCTTACATACAACAATTTCATTTTCATTATCTTTAAAATGTATAGCATGCTTATTTTATAAATTCACTCCATGTTTTCTAAATATAGTTTTAGTATGTTCATCAGAAATAACTTATAACAATATATATTTTTCTGGTTTCTCATTAATATATATATCATCAACTTAAGTTACAGTTGCTTGAATAGTTTAAGGTGGTTTAGGAATTGATGTAATTTATGAAGTGGATTTTTTAATTACATTTAAAGCTGTTGCTAATGTAATTAATTATTGAATAGAATTACATTTCTCTTTAATTTACTCTACTTTATTATTATAAGGGATCTAAAACTTAACACTATCCAATCTATAATGTAATATTTATTTATAAATACATGCTTACTTCTTAAGGTAGATTTTTAAGCCAATCATATGTCTTTTACATTTCTTATTCAGCTTCTTTTAAAAATTAATTAGGACAATTGGAATCATCAAGTTATTTCAATGTATGACAAAACACTTCTAAATTCGCAATTTTTTTATTTCTTCACAATAATTATCTCTTGCTAATGAAATATCTATAGCCAATTAAACAAGATTGAGTAAGTCCATTAGAGAAATAATTATTCCTCAATATTTTTGAATGGTTTATAATTGTTTTCATATTTCTATTATATAATTATTAAGTAAAAAGTAAGTTCAATTGAAAATAATATATATTACTCTTCATATCAATTTAGAGTAAAATTCATCATTGTTAACTGCTAATGTTTCTAATATCCCCTTATAAATTGTATTTATTGATTCTACAAATATACAATTTATGATTTGTAAATAAAGAATTCATCATACTTTTGGAAATTGTTATATATATAATCTAAATTTATATGCATTTTTGGCTAAATTTTTAGGATATTTATAATTTTCCATATAATGACATTCTCTATATTTTCTAGATCTTATTTCTGATAATTTATTACAAAGATTATCAAGTCCAGTTTAGATTAGATTATTTTATTTAAATATTTTAACTTTTTTTAAGGCAATTTCATATTTTTAATTAAATTTAGTTTAAGTAGTCTATTAAAATAGTTTAGTTAATTAATAATAAGGTTTTAAAAAGAAATGCATGATTATCCAACAAAATAAGATTCCTGAAATGTTTTAAATGATATAGTATATCAATTAAACAGTTGCCCAACCAAGTAATTCGGATTTCAATTCTTAAGTATCATTATCATTCTATTCCATAAACTTATAATCAACAAATCTTAGATATATTTGAAAATTCTTACACAATTTGATAGAATCTATTTTGGATACCAAATCCTCTAATAAATAAATCTTATCCAAATAATTTATTATGTCTACTAAAGTTTTTATAATAAAATTAACAATTTGATTATCCATTTTAATAATGTATTTATTTAAGAATTTAATCCCAATTTTAATTATCAAATCCTGTAATAGATGTATCATTAAAATATTTCATTTCTTAAACAAAGTTTACACTTGGATAAACATTTGATATTAATATCCTTCCAGCTAAATCAACTAAATAAATATTTAATTAATCATAATTTATCTTTGGTTTAATAACTTAGAAATTGCTATCTAATGCTATAACACCATCAAATTCTAATTATTAATTTGTTAAAGAAACTGTTAATGTAAATTCAAATTCTTATGTTTCATAATTTCTGTATATTTCATATATTACTTCAGATTACTACTACTATTTAAAGTAGCAATATGATCTTTATACCATTATCTTCATTTAGGATGATACATTGGATATCTCATTTTTTATGGAATGATAGTAAAAAACTATCCTCTCCTTTTTATGTTAAATATATTGTTGGTTCTAATTCACTATAACCAATTAACAATAATTATTCATTTAATATTTAAATCAAAACTATCAAATGTTAATCAATTTTGCATAATAATAACAAAATTATGGTAGATAGTATATTGATTTTTAATTTCTATATTTGTTATTAATAAACTAGAAAAGCCTTTTTTCAAATTTACTTTCTAAACATTCAATAGATTTTGGTATTCGATTTTTTTGAATATAATTAGCATATCTTAAATCTTCTACTTTAATTCAAGTAGCACTTAGTAAAGAATTTTGATTTTGTAATATAAAATTTGAGTTGATTTAGGATAGAAATATTTATTTGGTAAAAATTACATTAAAAAACTTTGTATTAATTAGATCGAAGTATCTTAATTTGTATAATCTCCTTCAATACAAACTTTTGTATATTCTTATTAACAAATTGTCGATGGTCAGTTGTTAATGAACCTGAATATCCATCTTCACAAATAATACATTTTACAATTGTTTAAGGAGTTTAAATACATTATTTACAATTAGATATTTAACGTTAACAGTTGATAATTTCAGGTGCAATTTATTAAAATCTTAAATAGCTGATAAATTACATTAGAACCTGTTAAATTTATAAAGGTCTCAAACAATTAGGAATAGTTGATTCTTTAAATATACAAATTACTTTAATAAAATCAAAATATAAATCCATTTTAACATAATGCACAGACTTTATTAAATATTATATTTGTCTCCTAAAAATCATTATAAATATTTTCAATATTATATAAATCTGGCTTTAACCATAATTAACTAGGTTATATCGAAAATCCATCAAATATAGAAAAATTCTGTTTTTAATCAAATAAATATTTAACTGAACTCTCAGTATCATCAATATATAAATTTGTTTAAAAATAAGGATCATTTTACCAATTATTTGGATTTTAAATATATTCTAAAATTATCTTTAATATAAGAAGGGCTAAATTAAATCATATATTTATTACTTAAAAAAATTCATCCTAATTTAAATAACCTTAAGAAATTTTTATTTTTTATATTATTTGAAATCTTAAACAAATAATTGATAATCTTCTAAGCTTTTACATTCTACATCAAATTAAATTGGCATACACATACTTTATATTTTTCAAGATAAATTCGTTTAGAATTTTTAGCTTCACATTCTTCAAAATTATAATTGCAAGCTTTTGTTATATTAAAACTTCTGCTTTTGGATTTTTGTTAATTAAATCTGTAATTTCTTTCCACTGTTGATTGACTCCATTTATTATTTGTTTAAGTTTTTCAAAACTCTCTTCTTGTTTAAATTGATTGTTTTACATTTATTATTTTTTATCTAAAATTAAACAGTTTTAAAATAAATCAAATAGAATTAGAAAATAATAATTAGATTGAATTAGGCCTTTATTTACGATTTTCTTCCAATTATCATTTTATATCAAATATATCAAAAATATTTAATCATCAATCATTTTGTAAAAATTTAACAGCTGTCTTTGCAACGAATCCCACAGCAACCACTGCTCCTACTACTGATTTCTTTACTGTTTCTCTCACTTCTGAAACTGCTCCTATGACTGCTCCACTTATTGTTCCTACTATTGGTCCTGCTATTTATCCAACAACAGCTCCTACTACTGCTCCAGGTGGTCCTCCTACAACACCTCCAACAACTCCTCCAATTGTTCCTCCACCTACTGTTCCAACTGTTCCTCCAACCACTCCTCCAACCACTCCTCCAACCACTCCTCTAACTACAATGTCATCCTTAAAATATTATTCTTTTTATAAAGTTTAAAAATTCAACTTTAAATAAATTTAATAGAATTAGAAGATAATAGAAATAAATATTATAAATATTTTATTTATTCATTAAACAGTAGACCAACCAATAAAACTTCTGCTTTTGGATTTTTGTTAATTAAATCTGTAATTTCTTTCCGCTGTTGATTGACTCCATTTATTATTTGTTTAAGTTTTTCAAAACTCTCTTCTTGTTTAAATTGATTGTTTTACATTTATTATTTTTTATCTAAAATTAAACAGTTTCAAAATAAATCAAATAGAATTAGAAAATAATAATTAGATTGAATAATGGAATATTTAGTAAAATTAACATCCCATTATCATCAATCGATCAAGATGTGTCATTGAATTTTACTAACATAACAGCCATTAATTATGGTAGCATTCTCAATACTCCAGGCATGTTCTTGTTTAATATTAAAAATATCGAGTATCATGAAATAGGTCTTTTGACTATTTAATAGCAAGCATGGTTACACCCTAGTATATTGTTTGGCCGCAAAATTGTATTTTCTCATTTTATTTTTTATAAATAGATAATTATTTAAATAAAGAAGTAAGATATTATAGAAGACAATAAAATTATTTTTCAAAAATTTGAAAAGAATAACTAATAAAAATATACAAATATAATAATGAGGAAAAGGCAGAAGCTTGTCAAATTATAAAACTTAATAGGGCTTCCAACAGAATATATGAAATGTTCCTTAATTTATGTAAAAGGGCTGAATTTGATAAATCAAGCAACAATAATGTAAAAGTAGTATTGTTAGCTCTGTTAGAACATATAAATCAAAAAAGAACACTTATGACAGTAAAATATTTGTAGATGTATTATTTACTTTATTATAAGCACTTTTAGTAGTATTTTAAGAATATACCTTAAGAATCTATTAATAATAATTCCTTATAAGATTTTTAAAGTATTAAAAAATGGGTTTGGGTTTGGCCCACTTGTAGGTTTAATTCAGCAGTCACATTATGTTGAATTCTCTACACATGAGTGAAAAATAAAATTTTGAAAAAAAAAAAAAATTTTTACAGAAGGGAAAAAAAAATTTTCCTTACCTAG